ATGTCGGTTGATTGTCATTCATTCTATATTATGTCAGTTGATAGAACAAACATATTGTATTGATGGAACAATCGATGATCAATTGATAATAGACTGATTATATGAGAATGTGGGTCAAGATGGACTAAAGGAAAAATACTTCATAACTTAAAAGAAAAGTAGTCAATTTGAGGTCAATATATTTAGGTGGGAAAAATTTGTTGGGTCTTATATAAGTTCATTATAAATGCGATTTCCCTATCAATTATTTTATTTAAAATATCAAAATTCGAAGTTTTAACTTTTGGTTAAGAGAACTAGCACATTATCCTTTTGATCAACTAATAGTTAATAAGTGTTAGCATGTATATTAGATATAAGTAATTTTTAATTTTTTTTTTAATTTTTTATTAATATTTTTTTGATGACTTGAAATCATGAAACCATAACATACTCCTAAAATGTCACGACATCAAAAGAATTATAAATTGATTGAAAATCGGGTTCTAAAATTAGTGTGGATAAAAAAAATTCAATTATCAAGTTAAGAAAATTAATAAGTTATGAGCTAGAAATTATTTTATAGATAACTGTCAGTAAATGACTGAAAATTAATAAAAAAAACATAATAACACACATATTTATGTAGGAAATTATAGTAAAGGAGAAAAATCTCACTACAATTAAAGTTAAATTAAAAGAAAATTATGTAAGAGTATATAAAATTTATAATAAATATAATAATACATACATACATAATAATAATAATTCTAATTAAACAAAACTAATCAAATTATAATTTTTTAATTAAATCAAATAAAATTTAATATTATCCTTACATATTATGACATTTGTTTATTGTGGCTGGTTACAATGTTGGCAGAAGTGGGTCCGATAGTATGTGTCGTTTCTTTTTTATTTGATTGTGAGAAGTCAAATGCTGTTCAAAAATAGGAGTAGAGAAATGAGTGTTTGTCGTGTATGCGATGTCGTTTAGGAGGGAGAAGGTCAGTTTGTGTTTGGGATTTTATGGCCAACTTCGATCAACACAAATCTGAATATGCGGAGTATAAAATTAATGAGTCATGGAAGTGGACAAATTGGGTTTCTGAGTTCTGACTCACTGTTTCTTTTAAAAGTGTTGCTTTCGTTTGGGTTTCAGTGGCCTGGTTAAGGGAAAAGGATCGTCATGCAATTCTATCTGCACACAAGTTAACTGCACTATAAATCCAACTTAATATTTTGTGAGGAATATGGATCCACACGGGTCGGGTCAGCTCAGGTCAGGTCGAGTTTTCTATTAATCTGATTTAATCTAAAAAATTTATCTATTCCATTCAAAATTTGACCTGATTTGGATTTATGATAGTTTCATTCAACAAGACATTAGATTCAATTTTTTTATTACAAATATATTTATAAAACTATTAATTTTATTCTATAAAATAAGGATCTAATTTAAAATAATAATATAAAGAATAATATTATTGAATTATCCTTAAATATATAAAGTATAATTATATTTTTTTCATGTCAAATTATATATTTTCACCTTAAATCTAAACATAATCTAGCCTAATCTATTTCCCCCTAAAAATCTAACGTAATAAATTTGAATCAAAACTTGTGGGATTCGAGTCCTCTGCTCATCCCTACCTATTACGAGAAAGCGAAAAATTATACGGAAGGAAGAACTTGATTTGATTATATTTTTAGTTCGATAATTCAATCGAAAGGTTTTGATGTTTAAGATATATATATAATTTGACTCACAATTTGGAGACGTCTTATAAATTAACAATTTATTAAAAATATTTTTAAAAAATACTTTTGACAATTTGAAATTTTAGAATCTGAATCAAATCTCTGTAAGTAACTTTTAAATATTTTGAATTATAAATATATTTTCTGACATTTACCACATTAACCTAATAATGAGGAAGCCAGTAGTCTCTGCTCATAAAAAGTACCGATTGTAGATTCACAGAGATCTGAACGTTCCCGTTGTTTTCGTTGTTAGGTGGAATTATCTTTTTCAACCTATACTCATTTCTCTTTTGTTTTGGAACATTTCATTTTTAATTTGGTTTTTCAAATTCATATGTACAAAATAAATCAATGAGTATTAAAATCATATGTCCCATCTTTGATTTTTTTTATATTAATAATTTTATTAATTATTGATTTAACTTAAGCTTGAATTTTTAAAATATTTTTATATCTTAAAGGTGTATTTTCTATATTGATTTATTAGTACGTCAATATTTTATTCTGGAAGTACTTTTAGTGAGGATCGAGGATTTTATATAATAAATTGAAATTTAATGTTTCAAAAATTCCAAAAGGAAGCAGTCATCGGCTAGACGATATAAAACCTTAAACCCCACTTTCTGCAAAGGTTAAAAAATATTTGATTAATTTAATTATAATTTCTAAAAGTGTACAAAACAAATGTCTTTGATAGTTCCTCCAATGAGTTGGGCACATGCTGTTCTTGTTTGACTTTGTTTGCTTCCTACAGCTTCTTTCCCACCATAGGTGTGCAAGTCTGGGTACGATGGTCTTATTGCAATTTTAGTCCTCCAGTGTTTAATTTCTCTACTATGTTCTTACATAATTTGATATATTTATTTCCATAATGGTAATGTAGTGGTCCAAATTTATCACATTGTAACAACATGATTTTTTTAATTAATCGCATTCAATCAATATTACATTTATACGCAAACTAAATATTTATATATTTAAAAATTTTATGTCATCCCATCTGATAACTATTAGAGTTTTATGATTTGAATTTCATTTGATGACTCAAAAAATTTACGGTGTAACTTATTTATTAAAAAAGTAAAATAGAAAGAAAAATCTAGTATTTGTGGGTTAGAGGTTCTCAAATCTTGTCACACGTATTAAAGCTCCACGTGACTATATTTTTATTTTTTTTAATAGTTTAAGGTGATTATAAGGTAGAATCTGTTCAAAATATTTTGACAACGCACACACACCTTAAATTAAATATCTCTATAAATAAATATTAGAGATTATGATTAAGAACAAGTCTATTAACCCTTAAAACCGTGCATAGTCACGATCATCATATGTTCTTTTTATTTTTTTATATTATATTGAATTCCTACTTTTTCTCCTATATTTTTAGGGTTTTTCAATTAAATTTGTGTTCTTGTTTTGCCTTTCTTTTTGTTTTGCGACCATTTACTCGTCGTTATTTGGTAACCATAACAATTAACAATGCTATTAATACACATGTACAAATAACATTATAAAAATAATGGGATGTAATTGTATCAAATTAAAATAAAATTTCAAATTTTAACATAGTAAAGAAACTAAAAGCATGATTAAAACCTAATAGGATTGGCTTGAAGGTTTTAGCTTTGTAACATGAAATAGCCGAATGCAGCTTTCTTTGCCATGTATGGCCTTAATGTATGCTTACTAAAAATGTATTGTACTGCAGTCCAAAAGGTGCAGCCCAGCTCAAGTGGTCAGATATTTTGCCCAACCAAAGCTACCCATTTTTCTCAACAGCTAAGCAAAGTCCAAATATGCTTCAAAAATACAGGGCAACACTGATCTTCCGTCTCTTCCCCCCCCCCCCCCCCAAATCCAAGCCTCCTTGATTCCATTCTTAGAGCATCTGCTGTTGTTGGTTTCTTTTGGGATAGGATAATAGCAGAACAGACCAGATCCTCAACATTTGAACTTAAAATCATGCATACGTTATAATAGGGTGTCATATCTACTTGACACAAACAGAAGTTTGTTCTCATTATTTCATCAACTAATGGATTTACCTTAGTGAGATCCTCCGCCGACGTCTTTAATCGATCATCAAGATCTTACAAATCTCCTCGATTTGACTTAGTAAAAATACCTTTAACGCAATTTTTCTCTATGGTAATTATAAATAGGGTAAAGTATACAAATGATCCCTAAACTATATGGAGCTACTTTGTTGAGTCCCCCAACTTACAAAATGATCGTCTAACTATTCATATGTTCCAAACTCATCATTTTTCGTTTAAAAAAATTGACAGCAGTCCGAGCTGAATGTTAACCTGTTGATTGTGATATAATAAAATTTAATCCTAGAACCGTTTGAGTTGTATTTTGTGGATCGACTTTTAATTTACATTATGACGTCGAACTAGTGCTTCAAACATTATTTTATCAACCATTGTTTGAAAGCAACAATGGTTCCAATATACATCATTAAAATATAATTTTATCATATCTCAATTAGTAGCTCAGATTGACATCAATTTTTTAACAAACAAGGATGAGTTTGAAATCTATAAATAGTCAAGTGAACATTTTATAATTTTTATTATTCGGAGGACTCAATAAAATATCGCCCTATAGTCGAAAAACTATTTCTGTACTTTATCCTTATAATTATATATAAATATGATCTTAAAAAAATTATATATAAATTAAGGATTAACTTTAGAATTTGACCTATTATTTTCTTCTCAATAATTGAGACTTAGACACGACTACGATGATATTTCTTCCTATAATTAAATTTTGGTCAACTTATGTAATTAGTATGCATAGCTCGTGACCAGGATGGAGTCAGAATTAAATATACATATGAGTCGAAATATTAATTTTTTTAAGAAAAATATAATGATTTGTTAGACAATTAAACTCAAAATTCATAACACAATGTCTATTTATTTAATATTTAAATTAATGACCTAAATTGTTATTAAATAAAAAAATTTGAGAATATGAGATAAAAAATTGTTAAGTCAAATTCTATACTCGTCTCTAACCTCTGTACACTTTGCATGAGTTGTAGATATAATATTATCTTTAATTTGATCATATATTTTTATATTTTTTTAGCTTAGGAATAAAATACAATGATTAAATCTAATTTATGTATATTAGAGAAATTATTAATAGTATTTAACCATAAATTTTAGACAATAACCTCTACTTCTCTTTTGAATATAAATGTTAAAGACCAATAGAGTAGGCAGTAGCCGAAGAACAACAATGTCTCATTCATTAAAATTTTTCTTCTTTCTCCTCTCCACCATCACCACAATCCCCTTATCCCACCAGCAACACCCACTTGACTCACTAACCCCAAACGAGTTCATCCGAGTCAAAGCCATTGTTAACCAATCACACCCTTTCTCTAGCAACAACTTAACCTTCCAATACATAGGCTTAAACGAACCAGATAAACAAGCTCTCATTTCATGGCTTGAGAAAATAAGCAGCCTCCCCACTCCACAACCACCGCCACTGCCGCCGCCACCTCGTGAGGCATTCGTCATGGCACGTATAAACCACAAAACGCACGAACTCGTCATCGATTTATCGCTCGACCGAGTCGTTTCCGACCGAGTTTACGATGGAAACGGATACCCTTCACTCACTTTCGAAGAACAGAACAATGCGAACCGGTTGGTGTTCGAGTACGCACCGTTCTTGGCTTCGATAGCCAAGAGAGGGCTCAAGGTCGAAGAGGTGGTCTGTGGGAGTTTCACGATAGGATGGTTCGGGGAGACGAAGAGAAAAGGAAGGATAGTTAGGGTTATGTGTTATTATTTAGATGGGACTGTGAATTTGTACATGAGGCCAATTGAGGCCATTACTGTCACAATTGATCTCGAAGCGTTGAAGGTCGTGCATTTTAAGGATCGGTTGATGGTGCCTGTGCCGAAGGGTGACGGGACCGATTATCGAGAATCGTCGCAAAAGCCGCCTTTCGGACCGGAGTTGAAGGGGATCACGGTTGTGCAACCGGACGGTCCTAGCTTCACCATTGATGGAGGCAGAGTTAGGTGAGTTACATTAATTAGTAGAGCAACTTTTACAATTTTTATTTATTTTTTTGAAGTCTTGTTGTTGGAATTATTAGCCGATTAGAAATGCTGCCGTTATATCATACATGGATTCTACATGACTCAGATTCCTTTTGCTTGGTAATTTTGTACTTTTTGGGGGTTTAAATTGTTATTTACTTAAATTTAAGAATTAGTCCTTACACTTTAATTTAATATATAATATGATCTTCTATTTCTATATAGGCATTTGGTTTTTTGGGTTATTTGTTGCTTCTGCTTCTGGTTTCCATTCATTTTTCTTGTAAAATTTGTACGTTCTTTTGTTAAATTATAGTTTAGGTCCTTTAATTGCGTTCAAATGATTGACATCGCTTACTATTTTGTCTGATTCTCCATTACTCTATATTTGTATTTTTTGGGTGAAATTATGGTTTTGCTCCTTTTAATATGCTTAAATTTGAGATTTAGTCTATATACTCTAAACTGACATAATTTAATCTCTGTATTTTTATAACATCGCTTGTCACTTGTTAGTCTAAATAGTCAACACTTAATTATTCTGGTTAAATTGCTAACATAGTTCCCCCCCCCCCCCAAAACACCCTTTCAAACGATAAATTTTATGGTAGTTTGATAGGTTGGAAGGAGTTTCAAGAAAAACTATGCCGTGCAAGAATTGTTTACGATGTTAATTATTCAGACAAATCAATGACAATCTGAAACCTAATAGGATTGGCTTGAAACTTTTAGTTTTGCAACATGAAATAGCCCAATGTAGTTTTCTTTTCCATGTATGATCTTAATGTATGCTTACTAAAAATGTATGATACTGCAGTCCAAAAGCTGCATCCCAGCTCAAGTGGTAAGATATTTTACCCAAAGCTACCCATTTTTTAACCCTCCACGGCTAAGCAAAGTCCAAATATACTTCAAAATACAGGGCAAAATTGACCTTTCTTCTTCTTCTTATTTTTCCCAAATCAAAGCTCTCCTTGATTCCATTTTTAGAGCATCTTGCTGTTGTTGGTTTCTTTTGGGATAATAGCAAAAAACCCCGCAACATTTGAACCTAAAATCATGCATACGGTATAATAGGGTGTCATATGAATCTTCTTGACACAAACAGAAGTTTGTTCTCATTATTTCATCAACTAATTGATTTACCTTAGTGGGATCCTCCGCCGGCGTCTTTAATATTTCATAATGATCGTACAAATCTCCTCGATTTGACTTAGTACAAGACCTTTTACGCAATTTTCCTCTATTGTAATTATAATTATATATAAATCAGGGATCAATTTTAGAATTTGACCTATAATTTTCTTTCCAATAATTGAAACTTAGACATGACTAAGATGATATTTCTTCTTATAAAATTTTGGTCAACTTTTGTAATTAGTCTTTGTATTATGCATAGCTTGTGAATTTAGATATTGCACTTTAATTTGGTTTTTTTTAATCCTTATAACTTTTAGATTTTGAGTTTCAACCCTGACTCAAATAATAGTTGTGAAATCTGTTAAGTCAAATTTTATACTTATCCAAAATAAATAAATATAAATGTTATATCCCAAATAGTGTAGGCAGTAGCCGAAGAACAACAATGTCTCTTTCAATAAAGCTTATCTTCTTTCTCCTCTCTACCCTCACCACCATTCCCTTATCCCACCAGCAACACCCACTTGACTCACTATCCCCAAACGAGTTCATCCGAGTCCAAGCCATTGTTAACCAATCACACCCTTTCTCTAACAACAACTTAACCTTCCAGTACATAGGCTTAAACGAACCAGATAAACAAGCTCTCATTTCATGGGTTGAGAAAATAAGCAGCCTCCCCACTCCACAACCACCGCCACCTCGTGAGGCATTCGTCATTGCACGTATAAACCACAAAACGCACGAACTCGTCGTCGATTTATCGCTCGACCGAGTCGTTTCCGACCGAGTTTACGAGGGAAACGGATACCCTTCACTCTCTGTCGAAGAACAGAAAGATGCGGACAAGTTGGTGTTCGGGTACGCACCGTTCTTGGCGTCGATAGCCAAGAGAGGGCTCAAGGTGGAAGAGGTGGTCTGTGGGAGTTTAACGACAGGATGGTATGGGGAGACGGAGAGAAAAGGAAGGATAGTTAGGGTTATGTGTTTTTATTTAGATGGAACTGTGAATTTGTTCATGAGGCCAATTGAGGCCATTACTGTCACAGTTGATCTCGAAACGTTGAAGGTCGTGCATTTTAAGGATCGGTTAATGGTGCCGGTGCCGAAGGGTGACGGGACCGATTATCGAGAATCGTCGCAAAAGCCACCTTTCGGACCGGAGTTGAAGGGGATCACGGTTGTGCAACCGGACGGTCCTAGCTTCACCATTGATGGAGGCAGAGTTCGGTGAGTTACATCAATGAATAGACCAACTTTGACTATTTTTATTTATTTTTGTGAAGTCTTGTTGTTGGAATTATTAGCCGATTAGAAATGCTGCCGTTATATCATACAAGGATTCTACATGACTTAGGTTCCTTTTGCTTGGTAATTTTGTACTTTTTGAGGGGGTTAAATTGTGTTTTACTTAAATTTAAGATTTAGTCCTTATACTTTAATTTAATATATAATATGATCTTCTATTTCTATTTCTATTTCTATTTCTATTTCTATAATATGACCATCCAGCTCAGTTGGTAGAGCACAAGGTTCTAAACCTTGAGGTCGTGGGATCAAGTCCCACGGAGGGCATTTCATAATTTGGAGGTCTCCTACGGAAGCTGCTCTCAACCTGGTGTTGGGGGCAGCCTACTATCTTACCTCCCCCTTACCCCATACATATGGGAAAAAAGGGACATCCATTTTTTTTTTTGCTTCTGCTTCTGGTTTCCATTCATTTTTCTTGGAAAATTTGTGCGTTCTTTTGTTAAATTATAGTTTAGGTCCCTTAATTGTGTTTAAATAACTGGTCCCGCTTACTATTTTGTCGGCTTTTCCATTACTTTAAATTCTTATGATTTTTTGGGTCAAATTATGGTTTTGATCATTTTAATAATGATTAAATTTGATATTTAGTCTATATACTTTAAATTGACATAATTTAGTCTCTTTATTTTTATAACATGCTTGTCACTTTTTAGTCTAAATAGTTAAATAGTTTTATTTTTTATTTTTCATTTTAAAACACCCTTTCAAACGACAAATTCTATGTTAGTTTGATAGGTTGGAAGGAGTTTCAAGAAAAACTATGCCATACAAGAATTGTTTATTATGTTAATTATTTAGACTAATTAATGACATTCCGAAATTAAAGGATCAAATCATATAAAATTATAGGGAGTCAGTCCCGAGTTCAAGCATGGCAAAGGGACTAGAACTAGGATTTGACCAATTTTTATAGTCGAGTTTATTTAACACAAAATTGTCCGTTTTATGACTTTGAGCAGGTGGGCCAATTGGGATTTTCACTTAAGTTTCGATGCTCGTGTTGGTCCTATCGTATCCTTGGCAGCCGTATACGACACCGAGAAGCAGCAATTTCGTAGGGTGATGTATCGGGGATTTGTATCGGAACTCTTTGTGCCGTACATAGATTTAACCGAAGAATGGTCCTACAGAACGTTCTTTGACGCCGGAGAATATGGATACGGTCAATGTGCGGTGCCGCTGCAGCCTCTGAGGGACTGCCCGGCGAACGCAGTTTTCATGGGTGCATTTGTTGCTGGCCGCGATGGGATGCCCATTGAGATTCCTAATGTTTTCTGCATCTTCGAACGCAATGCCGGTAATGTCATGTGGCGACACACCGAGACCATGATTCCGGCGGGTTTGGTATGTCGAACTTTCACTCAAGTTAAAATAGTCAAATTATGGTTTTGGTGCTTTTATTGTGCTAAATTTTGGTATTATGGTCACTTTACTTTTAATTCGACACAATTTGATTTCCTACTTTTCATATTTTTATTAGTTGTTAACACCTGATTCCAAAATCTTGGCATGTTTCACTAATCTTGAAAGGTCAAATTTTGATTTTGGTCCCTATATTATACTAGAATTTTGGATTTAGTCCCTGTACCAAATTTGGCCTTTTACTTTTATAATGTTATCGATTAATCCAATTTGTTAGCATCAAAGTTTTGGTATGTCAAATTTTCACTAATGTTAAAGGTTCAAATTATGATTTTGGTCCCTCCATTATTCTAAACACTAAACAGAGACGGAAGTATGTAGAGAGTGAGGGAAATTTTTGGTCTAATGACATTTTAGGTACCTTTCAGTTTGAACTTAAGCTAAATTAGGCTTTTTTTTTCTAATTCTAATTTTTGAGATTAAATACTTAATAAGTCTCTATTGTTTTGAACTTTGATAATTTGTCCCTTCTAATATTTGGTTCTAGCTGTGATTCTAAAATTGAGATTTGATCTAGTACTTTAAATTGTCTTTGTTCAGTACTATTTTATAATGTTATTATTTAGTCCAATTTATTTATAATGTTAGCAAATCCTATTAAACTACGGTCATGGAATTATTTTCTAAAGAATTGTAAACCTACAAATCAACAGAATTTTTAAGGATATATTTTAAAATATTATATAAAAAATTTAACGAAAATAGTTAATGATTTTATCAACTTAATAACATTATTAAAGTGAGAGAACCAAATTATGTTAAATTAAAAGTATATGGACTAAATCTCAAAATTTAATATAGTAAAGGGACCGGAATCATAACTTGTCCATGTCAAAAATAATATTGTAGGTGAAGATAAGGTAAGGTCTATTAATGGAGCTTTAATGGCTTTGTTGCAGGTTACCGAGGTCAGGCCTGATGTTAGCCTGGTGGTAAGGATGGTGTCAACTGTGGGCAATTATGACTACATAAATGACTGGGAATTCAAGCAGACTGGTTCCATTAAAGTCACGGTAAATGACACATTAACTACTCGCTTCAAACATTTTTCTTTGTGAATAACAGTATCTAATATTAAATCATATAGATTGATGTATGATTTTATATTATATGAATAAATTTATAAAAATTTAATGACGAAAATAGATTATCAATAGAAAATATACCTAAATTATATGAAAATTTAAAAAATTTCTAAAGGATGTTCGTCACCGCCAGCTTCCCTACCTATAGATGGAATATTTTAATTCTACAAGCAATATTTAAAATGGCCATATTTTTGTAACAGGTTGGGCTATCTGGGTTACTAGAAGTAAGGGGCACAAAGTACACCCACAAAGACCAAATACATGAGGAAGTTTATGGCACACTATTGGCTGAAAACACATTAGGTGCACATCATGACCATTTCCTCACCTATTACCTCGACCTTGATGTGGATGGTGAGTCCAACTCGTTTGTCAAGTCCAAATTGCAAACTGTGAGAGTAAATGACCAGAGCTCACCTAGAAAGAGTTATTGGAAGGTTGTTAGTGAAACGGCTAAGACCGAGTCGGACGCCAAACTTAAACTCGGGTCTGAGTCCGCAGATCTCTTGGTTGTGAACCCTAACAAGATGACTAAAATGGGTAACTTTGTCGGCTACCGTTTGATCCCGGGATCAATCACGGGTCCGCTTTTGACTGACGACGATTATCCGCAGATTCGGGGAGCCTTTACCAAGTACAATGTGTGGGTTACGCCGTATAACAAGTCGGAGAAGTGGGCAGGGGGAACGTATGTTGATCAAAGCAGGGGAGAAGACACTTTGGCTACATGGACCAACAGGTATATAGTCTTATTGAAGTTAGGTGGGACTAAACTATGCTAAATTAAAGGGACTAAAATCATAATTTGACCATTAAAATTGTTATAATGTTGGCATTGTTATAATATTTTACTATTTGTTTAATTGCAGGAATAGAAGAATAGAGAACAAGGACATTGTATTATGGTACACATTAGGTATTCATCATGTACCATACCAAGAAGATTTCCCTTTAATGCCGACAATAAGCACCGGATTCGAGCTCCGTCCGGCCAACTTTTTCGAGAAAAATCCGGTGCTTAAAGTGAAAGCAACCAATACTAATGTTAGGTGGCCTAATTGCACCCTATGAAGTCTGGGACGCAAGCTGTGAATCAGCTTAAGAACGCCAACGATCAGAAACAATGAATTTGTTTGGTCAATCTCTCTTAGGTTTTAAAGAAAGAATCCCGATTTTCTGCTATTACAGATCAGTATGCAAATTGGTTTGGATTGAAAAATATCTTATTTCAAATTAGATCTAATCCGAATGTGACTTATCGAACAAAACAAATATACCCTTTGAACGATCAAGTTTATCGAACCCAATAGATAATCCGACACACAGATGAACATAAGAAAATCAATACAGTGATTAAATTACAAACATAATCACATATCATGGCATCATCTTGAATTACAGATCATAGACCTGCTTGCCAGTGAACTTGACCTCAATAGGGCTAACATTCTTCCCAATGCTCCTAAAGTTCAGCCCTACACCTTGTCGGCCAGGGTTCACCTTCTCGGGGTACACACCATCTTTGGGGTGCAAATATTGGACCTCACCATTGGGGAACACCCTGTAGAATTGGTACTTGATCTTGTACTTGGACCTAAGCCTAGTCCCCAGAGCCAGACACTGCTCTTTCCTAGCCAACTTGAGCAGGTTCGGACCTTGTCTCATGATAGCAGCACCACCCGTCGGCATCTCGAATATTTGTTCCTTGGGTGACTCCCATGTGATCACATAAAACTCTTCCACTTGTGCCTTACGTAAAAGTCCACCCGTGCTGCCCCCGAATATCGGAGAAGGGGTGTTCGGATCGAGCTCGGGTGGGGTGAACCCGACCGGGGCTTCCTTTGTGGCGGTTGTTGACTCGGCTTTCTCTTCGGTTGCTTCGGCCTTGATGGTGGTAGGTTTTGGGGATTTGAAGGTAGGGAGTTTTATGGATGACGGTTGCTTCCATGGCACGGCGACTCGGTTGCCGGTTTTTGGGGTGAGGAGGGTTGTGGGAGTGAGAAGGGAGGATTGGGTTGCCATTGCCATTGAGAATAGGGAGGGAAATGGTGTTTTTTTGTTGGTGATGGTTGGTTTTGTTAGAGATTATCAGATTAGAAAATGGACCCTAGAGAGAACAAGTGGTGGAAATGTTTGGTAATGGATAAGGTGGGATGTGTTGGACCAATTAGATTATGTGATTTTGATACTTAGGCTTACCCACGCCTCACCCTTTTATTTGTTGAAGATTTTTTAAAAATAGTTTTTTTATTAATTATTGAGATTTGATTTATCAATTAATCAATTAGAATAATTTTTTTTATTATGACACAAACTTCAAGCTTAATTAAATAAAAAACTAATAAAATTTTGATTATCATTTTTAACCTTAAAGCATACTTAATCATTTGTTTATTTATTTTGGGTACATAGAATTTTTTTTCTTTGAACAATTTTTACTTAAAAAAGAAAGAATAATTTTATTTATAATGGGTATTGAACTCACAATTTAAAAAAAAAGTTTTGTCAATTGAAAGCTTTTAATCACAAAACTTAAATTATATACTGTTAATATATCCTTTCTCATTCAAAGTCATATGTGTAACTCATTAAGTGACCTCAATAGTAAAAATAAATGTTGTTCTATCTAGAGGTGCTAGAATGTTATCAATTGATTAAGAAATGTATGAATAAATATTATCTTATAATCACCTATAATATTAAAAAAAAGTCACTGATGTAGAGGTAAACTTCTAAAATTTTAAGAGATGACGACCTTGTAAAATTATAGCGAGAGAAAACAGATTTTTAATATAAAAAATCTAAAAATATATGATAATTTTAAATTTTAAAGGGATGATTACCCACCGGTTGCTTTGGTCAATCCTTGCACCGATGTGAGATTATAATAAGATAATGCTTGTTCCCATTTGATCTAACAGCTTATATACCGTGCCAATGTTACAGTCAAAGAATATTTTTTTCCCGATAATATAGCAAAGAATCTGCATAATTCTTGACATTACTACAATGTCAAGAATCTAAACAGAAAATAAATAAATATATATTACTTTCATGATTTAGATTGAGATACTGTTTGGGATCCCTTTGCCAGTGAGTCCACCATCTCTTGTGTAATCTGAGGTGTTGGGATAAAGCAATGTATATGGCATCTTCACTGCTCCAATTCTGTTCTTCAATCTACTATCATTGTTCCGTTCCGTTACTCTCTTTTCAATCTCCACCAGCTTCCTTCCGAATCTTTCGAATGCAGCTAAGGGTTCGACGTCCGAAGTCCACTCCGGCGTATCTCTCTGTCCGAGGTATATTTCATCACTCAGAATGCCGCGATAAGACCTCGATAAGTGACACACCGAGCAGAGTTTGGAACTGTGGTGTGATTGTTTTGAGGAAGGCCAACTCAGGGTCCTTCTCAAGCTCGGCGTACTCGGCTGTGCCCTGTTCGGGCATGAAGCGACGGCTAATTGTCGACCGATTAGGGAGGTAGCCTGCATAAGGGTATTGTCCGAAGTTGACGGCAGCATGCAATGCAGAAGAGATCCATATGATGATTGTGCATGCTTCGATGAGCTCGGCTCGTGTCTTCATCTCGGGCCACCATGGTTCGTGTTTCAAGTCGTTGTGGCCCTCATTCCGAATCTCTGTCCACCATGATTGGATCTCGGTGTCCGCTTTTACTACTTCATCTGAAGGGTAGTAGAACGAGCAATACTCGGTGACCCAAGTTTCGATGGCCGACCATATCTCTAACCCGTCGACAGCATAAGGATAGTCTTCTATCAGAAGTTTGAGGCCAATTGGGTTGCCTGTGTCCCTAACAGCCATTCCTCTGCAAAGAAATAAAGGGTTCAAAGGTAGTTACTTAAATATATAGATATACGTATGTACGTGAGTGCGTACATATGTATGTGTGTATGCATGTACGTACGTATGTATGCATACATGTATGAATTGACTTACCTCTTAATTAGATCAAGAGGGAGAGACTGGTCAGTGAAAATCCAGTTCTTGTAAACAGAAGAAGACATTTCCAGGGCATGTTTACCCGGAAAGACGGTCAACTCGAAAACCCCGCCGGCATTGATGAGGATCTGTCGGGCCAAAGCGTTTATGTTCATCGTGTCCCGGAAATGGGGATGCAAGAGTTTATATATGGGGTGAACCACACTCAGCTGCCTATTACTTGCAATTATAAATGGCTCAATCACAGCATGTGTGTTCAACCTGCAAACATGGCAAATAAGCATTGTGAAACCTTAGACAACTTCCATAGCTTTTTACTACACTTATCAAGCTTTGTCATTGCAATGTTATACCAATGAGAAATGAGCTGATGGTAGCCGGAATCGTTCACGACAGCATAAGCTTTGGCCAATTGCCAGACCGAACCTTCGATTCCATCCTCTGCTGGGGTGAAAACTTTGCTGACAGCACCATGGGTGTCCCCTTGTGGATGTGGCAAGCTCAACTCAATCGCTAATGGCTTCAGTGTGCCGTCGTCTTGCAATAAGAATAGAGTTCTCGTGGCGTAAGTCTTCGTGCTAGTCGAATTTATCCGCCGAAGGTACGGCATCAACGCATCATGATGATTCAATATAAACGGTCTGTTGCCTTTAAGTGCCTGAATTACATGTGATCAAAACAATTAGTATTCAACAGAGAAACATTATAATTTGGTAATGCGATAACGAAAGCAAAGCCGATACCTCTTCCACTGTGAGTCCATTGATATTCATCTCGATGTGTTCAGCCTTAATCGTACTTTTCTGGTTCCCATATGCTTTCGGATCAAGCTTGCTGGCTGGTGGAAATTCTTTGAGCCGACTGATAACAACTGGATTGACCCCGGCTAGTGTTTCTCGAGCAAACTCTTCGTCCGTCCTCCAGGCCGACTTGTCCTCTGCAACCACACATACAATAAGCAACTTCGTTGGAATTAAGCGTTAGATGGGGCAGTTCCCGCATATACCTTTGATGACAGCAGGCAGTGGGAACTTCATGAATCGTTCACCGTCGTTACGAACAAGTTCGCGGATCATCTCCCAAGGGAGGCAGTTCCTTATCTTCTTAAGAGTGTCATCATTTGGTAGTTTGATACCCCCTTCATATAGATCGAGTACATCTTGAAAGGAATCGAACTCGTTTATGGTTTTGTCGTATACCGCTGCAATCTCGGGGATCAATACCTGAAACAATGATTTGAGAGCATAGGCCAGAAAATCCGAAAATTTCACCATGTTGAATTGTTCATCTCGTGGAACATAAATGTCTAAGTTTAGAAGAGATAGCCTGCTCTCTGTATTCGGATCTGTTACAATGGTAAAACAAAACATTACATCATATTAGATTGCAAATGCTGCCTATGCTTAACATACTTATAAATGCTGACCTTTTTTGTGTGGTTTCCGACCGGTTCTCCCGCGTCTCGGATACGGAATCTCCTGCGATCCGCCGAGGACCGGCCGAGCAAAATTATGACCCTTTTCCGGCATTGCCAAGTCATTATAGTAATCATAATCATAAACTCTATCCCATTCATTGAGCTTCCCTTTTCCTTTTCCATTTCCTCTGAGATTCATCAGCTCTTCTTCCCTGTACTTCCGTAATGGTTCAGGCATTTGACGTGGAAGATAGGTCTAAAATCCAACACATCAAAGTTGTGTCTTAACAACCAGACATAGTGTTTATAATTAATGAAACAACTGGACCAAACAAGGATCATGTTACGTACGAAAACGAAAGTTACCTTGTTGGAGAAGAAGACTCGATGATAGTTGTAACGACGAGACGGATACACCCATGAATTGCAAATGAAATGGAGGCGGCCGTGACCCGGAACATTTTCGAGAGTGAGTGTCTTGATGTAGAACTGGCTGTGGTGATGGTTTTTAATAATGAAAGCTCCAGGGATGCCCATGGATTCATCCCACTCGAATTCAATGGTAAACACGGTTTCACCGGCTGTTAATTGTGAGACCGTTGTGATCCATTTCTCCAAATATGAAGGCTTGCCTAGCTTCCCTCGCGATCCGTCCGCTGTAACACATCGAAAATTTCTTAAAATAACAAAAACAAGTTGTATTTCGAATTTTTTATCGGTTAATCTCGAATAATGAACACACTTACGAATCTTGTCCCCCTTGCTTGCAAGATTCAAACAAGCAATGTAGCAATCACTGA